GTTGCTAATGATGCTTAACAACCTGGGATGGAAGAATCAAGCAAGTAAAGGATGGATGGAGTGTCAATTTTGCACTGGTAAAATTGCTCAAAGGCACAACAGGAATGTGGAATAAATGTGCACGAAATATATACCTCTGAACAACAGGTGTTCATATGGACAGAGAGGGGAGAAGGGGGTAACACTTTACTTGAAAGACAGTGAAATACATAATTAAATTGTAATATCTTCCTTTACATCACTTCAAATAAAATGTGTTACCAAAAATTGAAATGCACAAGAACGACCGGAGAAAACGGGCCTGATAGAAAAACCAGATGAATTAAAGAGTAGGAGCAAGAGAGACTGAGACTGTGAGAGATGGCGTGTTAGTCAGAGGAAAACTTAAGATGAACAGAGTGGGAGAAGTGAATGAACAGCGCTCCGACAGTGATGAGGTCCGGCACGACTGAGTGGCACTGAGCGAGAGCCGACAAGTGATGTACAAAACGAACATGAACACAGCAGGGCATATGCGCCGGCGAGCATCTCCAAGTCTGCTATTAACATCTGCGTCACAGAGATTCAGGAACATCCAAATGCGAGGAACAGAGCCGACCACAGCAGGCTTGTTGGCCTCTAATGTTCTCACATCATAGCGATGGTCACCCTGAGCAGCTGCGGTGTACCCGCCTCTGGGCCTTCAAAGTTGAGTTTTTTTTTGTTTTTTTTGCTATTTAACATATTTTTTGTGTGTGAGGACTCGGATTTTCCAGGATGCTTTGGGATGACGTAGCGGCTCCTCCACGGCAAAGAAATGTCAGCAAGTTCTTCAGTCAGTAATTCATACAGTGATGATTACAAATAGTCAGATACGACATATCACTTCACCAGTACCAAGAAAGTGACGCTTAAGTCTAGATAAATGGTGATTTAAGATTTCGTTATCAACAACAAAAGCTTTAACACTATATAACTTTTTAAAGTGGACATGTTTGTAGCCCATGTTTTAGGCCTCTCCATCCAAGCTCCAAGCTCCTGGATCTGGACTTCAATTGTGTAACACCAGTGCATTCTGGCTCCCTCCAGCTTTTGTCTACAGCTCTGCTATTAGTCAGTCTGCACTCAAGCCCTTTATCACCAGAGGCAAACTTCACCAGTATATCAGCTACACTGCCACATACTCAGCCCTGACCTCACGCAACCTCCTTAACACTCAAGTTTAGACCTCCACCGAAACTGCTCGGCAACCTCATCCAAGATAACACATTCTTTCAATAAGAGGACGTGGCTGAGCTGAAGTTCCTGTATGCGCGCACATGTTTACGCCGCTCTCCAAACCCAATTATTTAATTGTCCTGACACCTGAGCAAATAAATCAGCCGGTTTGGGAAAGCAGCAAGACAGCACGGAGTACAGCAGAGAGAAGAAGAAGAAGAGGGAGGTCGTCCTGAAAGATAGAGTTTTTACTGTTTCACTGAAATGTGGCATGAAGTCACGCTCTGAGAAATGATAGCAATTAATCAGAGCTACTGAATACAAACCACTCAACTAATCACAATTAACTTAATGGATGAGTCACTACGTGCTAACTACAGCCCAGTCCTCGTATCGTCCAGAAGTATAGAATGAGACAAACTCAGACAGAGAGGAAGACTGAAACAGAAAAATAAAAGAGCAGAGTAAGGAGAGACGGAAAGGAAATTAGACATTGTGCAGCCCCGTTGTTATGATGTCAAGTTTGAGAATTTCAGGTTGATTATACGAAATTGCAAGTTAAAGGGCACATCCAAATCAATTTGGTGCGGCAGTGAATGAGGACCCCTGCACAATTAGAGGGTTTTTTATTGGTTAGCAGAATGGCTGTGACTTCACCGTGAGCATCTGACCTGCTGGCTGTTTCCTTCATGTACGATCTAACTGTTCATTAGGGTCAGTTTCCCTTTATAGATCTGCAGGTTGTCAATCTTCTTGGGGCCAGAGGTAAATACAGAGCTTTAAAATGTACTGTCAAATTAGAGGGTCACAGAAACGGAGTAACTTCACCTTCACAAATGACAAAGTACCCCAAGTTTTTTTTTTTTGTGAGGACTATTAGGGCCATTTGTGCAAGTGCAAAATTTCAACTAATGTCAATGACATGTCAGCACATTTACAGAGCAAGGAGCTGTTATGCTGGAACAATATTTTTTTGCAGAGCCAGTTCCATTTTTATGTCAAACCTTAACGACCAATAAAAAACAAATGTTATGAAAAGAAGGTGAACATACAGTAAAGGTTTAAACAAACTGTGTGTTTTTTTTGTTTTCGTTTTTTTTTGGGAGGTAAAAGATTATGACAAACACTCTTAAAAAAAAAAAAAAAAAAAAAAAAAAAAAAAAAGAGCTACGTGACGCTAAATGTTTGTAGACTGCAGCAAAGAAAACGAGATAACAAGAACTGAGAAAGGAGTTCTCAGAGTGAGGTATGTTCACAGGTGTCACTTTCTGCTGCAAAGCCTTTTTGAAAACATTTCCCGCTGACAGGGAGTGAAAGGTTAATGTGCATTAAAATTCAGGGGCATAAATTTTGTGTGAAAAAGCCTTCAGCTACACAACAGTAGATAGTAGCCCCTGTAGAGGTCCTGCTTTCTTCTTGAGAGTGTGTATTACTACGGCAATTTGTTTCACTCCCACTGGAATTAGGTGATAAATGCAAGTCTTACTCTCCTGGGATGTATTAATTTTTCAGTGGTCACAGGACCAAAAGTGTGCAAACACAAACAGGATGATGGAAGTCTGTCCTGGTCCAAAAAGAGTCCAGAGTAGAGTCTGTTCTAATCTTCTTAGGTGACTGAAGTTGCCCTCTCTCTCTTTGTCCTCAACACAGAAACAAAACCATCAGACATGACATTTCTGAGATGGCTCTCTGCCACGATAGCAGTCCTTTAGTAATCACTGTTTTCCTTCATGCATACACAGAAAAACTCATGCCCTGCAGCAAGATCCTACTGTTGTCTACACCATGGTCAGGCCTAAATTATAGCCACAGGAGATTATGGGCAGCAGTTGTGCCCTGCGGGTCCTTTGGGCAGTTAAAGGGCAGCTATGACTCCTAAGAATGAAACCACCCCACAGCGATGGGCAGAAAGTTGCTTCCTGTTACTCCTGTGTGTAATATGTCATTGTGCAGTCTGATTTTGGTTTTCTCACTGCTATAAAATTAGTTGCAAAGGCAGATTCAGGGGCTGTTATAATTACCTTTAGGAATGAAATGTGTTTTTATCTAATGCAAGTTAGAATTATGATGATTTACTGCTATAAAACGGGTGGACTGTTTTGAATCACAGCCTGGTGGTGATATGGATGATATATTGTATTTGGAGAAAAACAACCAGTGACACTTCTTCAGTTCTTATAAAACTGACCTAGTGTTGACCTCTAAAAGAACAGTGAAGACAAAGCACCTTCTCTATTTAGAAACAGTCACAATAACCAGGTTGCACCCTTAACCCATAAACTAAAACTGGGCCACTACTCTACTACAAAAATATATTCTACATAATTAACACCTTCAATGTTGCGCAATAATACACAGCATCACACGTCGTAAATGTGTGTTTCAGATGAACTCAGGAGGCAAATCACTTAGACAAAAAAGCATCAACTCACGTAATGGAATAACACCAGCTAGATGATTAAGCTGACTGGGATGGGTGTAAATCACATTATGGTTTCAGGCAATGTGATCCAACATCACGCTCAGGAGAGGCCTTAGCAGGAAGCTGCCGCGACAATGTGTGTTGCGAGGGCGAGCCAGAATTCCTCCAAGCCACATTATTGCATTCAGCAGCTCCACAGAACATGCAACGGGCAGGAACCCAAAAATGGCTTAGGTGTGTTCTCCTTTCCCCAGGGTGTGGTGAGAGGAGTGTGCCGGCCTGGAGCCAACATGGTGGTCAGGGTGAAAACCACAAAGTGAAAATAGAGGCGGTCGGGGCCAGGACGGACATGTCCAGCACAGATCAAAAGTGGGCAGGGCCTCAGAACACAACAAAGTGCGACGCTGACAGATGGAGGTCTTTCACGGGCCACTGAGAACTTGAGGAATTGAGTTCTTATGTGTCGCAGACCAGAGGTCACTCAAGAGAATCGAGGAATCTCAACAAAGGCAAACAGAGATAATTATGCAAGAAAACTAAAAAAGATAAATAAAAAAAAAAACAAAGGTATGTGGCGCAACCAAAACCAGCACCAATTAGGTTTGGTGAGGTTACAGAAGCCCACTCCTATATGTGCCTCACCAGCTGACAAGACCAGGGGAATGCCTGGTATGGCAGTCATCTAACAACGCAGACACCCAGGATGGTGAGGGGTGGAGTGAGAACAAGAATGCCAGCCAAGATGTCCCTGCTATACGCTTGAGGCCCTGGGTCTAGACACATGGGTGTTTTTTTTTTTTTTTTTTTTTTTTTACATCTGGGACGACGTCTGAAGAGCACGGACATGAGAGGCATGTTACAATAAGAGAGCAACACTGACCAGGGATAGAAAAGGAAGCCGTTCACAGACACCAAGCCTAGACTGGCTGAAAATACTCATGGCCAAGAGCAGGGTAATTGTGGTTGGCTTTGGTGTGCTTACAACTTCAAGGTTGTGGGTTGGATTCCCACAGGCGAGTACCTCAAAAGCAAAAAGTATGTATGGTATTGGCTTGACCTGTGGTGCGGAAACTGCTTTGATACGAGAGGTTTTCAGAAATTTGGGGATTAGTGAACAAAGCCTAGATAACAGGATTTTAACGATAAAAAGATGTTCACCACATATAATAAACAACATGATGATAAATGTGCTGAGAGTGGAAGAGACGTGGAACAACATGCAACAAAAGGTCCCTGGTATTCCCTCACTCGAACCAGGGATGTTGCGGACCGTGGTCTGCATCTTTACACGTCTTTAGGCAACCGAGGTGTACTGAAGATGTCATTTCAACTTCCTGAAACCTGTTGAAAACAAATACATACATGATTTCTTGTCACTTACGAGAGGCTCCTTGTTTTTAACCAGTCGTATGATTTTCACTGAATCCTCATCGTCGTCGATGTCTTCAGGCAGCGGAGGTAGCTCGGGGTCATAACTCTTCTGGGCAACTGCGTCGTGGACCGTCAGAAGGCTCTAGAACAAGGAGAAAAATGGAGGGATTGATGGGGGGAAAGAAACAATTGGCAAGGATTATCAGTCAAACCATAAAGACCTTAGATTTACCCTGGTACAATTAGCAATACAGAGCAGAGCAAAACATGCTATTAAGAGTTCAATCTATCACTTCTTTCTTTGAGCAGAACAGAGAAAATGCAGAGACTGTAAGGAGGATGGTTATGAATTGGGGTTTCTCCCTCAAGTGCTGGGTGATGGATTTGAAAGCATTCAGGGCCAGTTCTTGTAGCTACATGTGCTAATTGTCATTAGGCCCATGCTCTCCCTCCATACATCTCTCTGATTAAAGGCAACCAGCACCCGCCCTGGACCATTGCTCACCAGGGACTGCAAGTGGAGGGGTGGGGGTAACTTTGGCCACTCTTCTCAGTACCGATGCTTTCCAGGGCAAGGTGGTGAACACTTTGAGAGGCGATGTTCTACACTGTTCGGCGGCAGGCTCAAAGCAATGAAGTTCTCAGCCGCCTCAGATATTTCACACATTCACGAGCAGACATAAAAAAGAGACGGGACACAGACAAGAATGATGCCATTGAGACATTCATTTTTCAAACTATTTAACGACTCCATGTCCGGACCAAGATGCAGCTGGACGCGTGCTGCTTTTTCCGTGGTTGAGGAGGGGAGAGAAAAGTGAGAAAAACATCTTCCACCTCATGTGCCAGACAAAAGTAGACAGGGAGAGGGAGAGGGAGAGAGAGAGAGAGAGAGAGAGAGGGATATGGTGAGAAGAGGAGCAGTGTGTTTTATGACATGGGAGCATGCTGCAGTACAGCGTTCAAGATGTTGCTAACTGGGAGCAGATGAGTGTAGGAGACATAACTGGGTCTCTGTGGCTGGGATCCACCGAGAGACAAGCTGACCAGGCACGCGCACGCACGCGCGCACGCACGTAAGCACAGAGTTTATCTTGTATACTTGTGAGAACTTACTCCTATTTATTCCCTTGGTCCTGATGATGATGATTAAAGGATGATTCCAGTTTGTTACAACTTTGGTATTACTTTTGTATTTTTAACCATCATTTCTATCAGTATTAATAACATTATATGCACATTGTATGACAGTGAAAGTCCTGTCCTGTCCTTGATGCACATCATTCCCCACCTCTCTCTCTTGCCTCTGATTTCCACCTCTCTACTGTCCAATCTTTAATAAAGGCATAAGTTCAGTGTTTCCCAAAGGTTGAGAATTTAAACACCTCACATGCGGGCTATCGGTAGACACTCGCAAGGTGGGTACATCCAGGAACACCCTGGCTTAACTTTGAAGTGAAGCTCTACATTTAGTAGGTTAAATAATCTATCTAAACTGCTGGCTTGTTCACTAGCTGTCTGATCATCTGTCTGTTTGTGTTTCTTGTTCCTGTCGGACTTTGCTGTAGCACAGATTGCCGTGTTCCCATATCTCAGCGATTACTTTGATGGGTACATCATAATCATAGCCAGTAAAAACGATGGCCAAAGCTAGAAAAGTAATATCCAAGTTGTAATGGACCATCATTTTTCTTTAACTCACTTACCCTAATACCTGATGTCAACTTTTACTCTAAATCTAACAGTGATACTAACCCTAAAGAGGATTCTAACTCTAAACTAATCCGCCAGAGCAGTGCAGACCAGACAAAACAAGAACAAAAAAATTCAAAATCCCAGAAGAACGCAAATTTAATTCCACATTTTTCTCTTTCTCATCTCTCCTCCCTGAATCTCTCTTGTTTTCTTGGTCCTCGTGTCCAAACTTCTCTCAAATGCCATTAATCCTCCACTTCAGTTTTATCTTTCATGGAATTTTCCCAAAATCTTCCCAGCATCAGTTTTTGCGTTTCTCAGAACAGGCCTAACAATGTTTTCCTGGCTTTCATCTGCACTGTACATAAACACACACTTTTTTGTTGTATTGTATATCTGGGGATGCTGTCATTATGGTATTGAAATATCCTCTTGGAAACGCTGGAAAACCAAAACTGTTTGCAGATGAGGTCAATAAAAGGAAAGTGAATGGGAATGGGGTCTCAGATTTGTGCTCGATATAACAAATAAATTATGTTCATAGCACCATGTCAAGGCAGGGATGGAGAGTCTGCGGTTGCAGTTGTTGTGATGAGATCAGTAATGTTACATGAGCACCACGTGTAAATGTATATGGCTTTATAACGGAGCTATAGCCAATGAATGGAAGCAGCACTTGATTCAGTGAATAAAATATCAGGGAACTAATATTTACAGAAGAAAGCTTCTGACTTTGTGGCCACCATTTCTTTTCTGTTTTCTTTACCTTCTTTTTCACATTTCCCCCCCACAGGGGGCACAAGAAAACCTATTTTGAATCTGGCATTGTATCGAATTCCCACAGTTTTCTGAAAACATCCTTTGGTGAAGGCTGGCCCAGGCACTAACAACAAACCCAGAGAAAGAAGATTTTTTGAGTTTGAGGTTGAATGCATGCGGCGTTGTGGCTCTCTTTATGGTATCTAACTGTCAGTCACAGCACCTGATCTGTGTCACGACAACATGTGGGTCAGCCAGGCGTCCATCAGCCTCTCAGCAGGGTGGGCCTGGTGCCCAAGAGGAAGCAGAGCTGCAGTGTTTTTCTTACGCTGTGCAGCATTAGTTCACAGAATGAGACTGAACTGGTGCTGAAACTATTTGTCAATCATTTAATTGACACAAAATTAAACATCAATGATCAATGATTTTGCCATTGTTGGGGATGATTTTCCATTTCTATTTGTGTGTCATTTGTCTGATACTCAAACTCAACTTGAACTCAACTGTTCAAGTCATAAATCAAACAAAAATCAATAAAACATTTGTTGGATCCAGTTTGTGAAAAGTGAGAATTTGCTGCTTTTCTCTGTTTTATATCAGAGTAAACTGAAAAACCTTTGATTATTAACTGTTGGTTGACCAAACAAGAAATGTGGAATTAAAATGGGCATCATACTATATTCTGACATTCTATAGACTTGACTTTTAATCGATTAACACACAAACAATTAGACTTAGATCAGAGGGAAGTTGGTTGCCACAGTAGTAAAGATATAGTATCAAACATTCAGTTTTTCATAGAAAAATTTTACTGAGATCTTTCTTTCTACACATTCCCTCCTCAACCTTTCCTCCAGTAACCTGCCAGTTGCTGTTTCCTCTGAACTACATCCATCAGGCCTAATATCCTGACCTCTGAGTGTCCTCTCACTGATGGCACTTCCTTAAATCTGGCATTGCTCCCCACCGCCACATCCTCACCCATGGCTGCGCCTAACAACCCGTAACAGAGCCACAGCTAATTCCTTGTGAAAACTTTCTAGGAAGTACCAAAAACAGCTCCATGCTAATAGATAGCACATGGTACATGCCCTGGCTGGTGACTGTTGACATGGGGAACCACACAGGTACAAATGTTTTACACAACACGCGGTTATATGTGGAAGCTTTCCTCCTGGGCTGATATGAGTCAGTGGGTCTTGTTATGCCTCGGTGTTGGTGGATTAGCTGCCTAATCAAATCTGGAGTCACATCCATGTATAGGCCCTGCAGCTGAGGCCCGCAGAGGAGAGGAGAGAGAGGGAAAGTGAGAGACGGAAAGAAAGATGAAGGGAAGCGAAACCACCCTTGTTTTCCAGGCATCCTGTCCTTTCTCGGTTCGTGTGTTTGTGTTCATTAGGCATAATAGGGATCCTAGAAAAACAGATCACTGTGCTTGACAAAATAAACCTGCCCGTACATTCCTGGCATTGGCCTCTCATTAAAGCCCCCGGCCCTGTCACTGGCCCGCTCGTTTTTCAGCTGGCGGCACAGGATCGGTGCAGGGTAACTGCTTTCCTACGGCGGGATGGACCCCGCTGTGAGCGTTCTGCTTTGGAGACACTGCTGTAGGCCAGCTGGGATATGACACTGACGCCCACCCTCTTTAAGCCTTGATCCTCGGCACGCAGCAAGCATGCATACACACACCTCCCTCCATACACGCTGGCGGAAACAGCCGGCCATCATAATTGGCACTTTCATCACTGTCAATATTAGTCTTGCTGAGGGGGGCTAATATGGGCGAAAGTTGTTTTTTCATGTGCAAATCGTAAACGAGAAAGTTTGAGGCAGAAAGGGAAGGCAAGAGAAGGGGAGAGAAAGAGAGTGGGGAGTTTTAAAGAGCTTGATTTATATCCCCACCCTAGGAATGGATCATTTCAGCCATAATTAAGAGTGATACAGTTACTATCGCACAGAGACGCCATTCAAAAGCAACAGCCATCTGCTTGTGTTTTACACCCCCGGCCCTGTGATTTACACTGGGGCTGGCTGGTACGGTATCAAGTGCCCTGGAGGACAGATGGAGGCAGAAAGAGAGCAATGTTTTAATACTTCATTCTTGAAGCCCACATGCTGCCTACGGTTTTAGACCCAATGTCAAAAAAACGGCAAGAGCCTCCATACCTCAGTATGGTACAGTGAAAGCCCTCCCTCCAAACCAAGATGCTGGAACTAATCTACCGTTGACCCAGTGTTCCTGCTGAAGCCAGCAGGAGTGTTTAGCACGGCAGTTTAAGGCACACATGCTCAAAAGCTGGTGATGGACTTAAACCAACATGCAAGAGTAGAGGTCATAAAGTTGAGAAAATGTGCAAGTGTGTGAACACATGCAGATGTCAAACGCTGAACTTGACAAAAACAGGTGTGATTCCTTCTCTTGAAAACTGACGTACTGAAGCTCACAGAAGTCAGAAAAAGTTGTTCTTTAAAATGTTTTTTCTTATTCATTTTAAAAAGGACCTCAGGGCAGGGAAACAATGTAGCTGTAGATTTATGTCAGAACACATAAAATAGCTTTCTCTGACAAAAAGAGCTTTTTTTTTTTTGTTTTTGACTTGTAGTGCTCTATATCAATTCTTTGATGAGCAGGTTCCTGTCCTCAGTTGCTTCTGTGCTTATAACAGTGCTGTCTGCAGAGGTGCAGCAGAGGAAGCAGTAGCCAAATATTTTCCATTGTTTCGCGTAAAATCGTTTGGCTGACCTCGTTCTGCACTGAGAGCTGAGGTCGGCTGAGTGGTGTGTGGAGGTGGTGGGAGAACAGAGCAACAGCATGCAAAAGAGAAACAAAATAAACGAAGAGCAAAAACAAGTAAATATTGCTGTGACTCTTCCTGAGGAGACAAAGCTGAGGTTGGACTTGGTACCAATGCAGAGGTGATAATGTTTTCTCTCATATTTACTTCATTGTAACACAAAAAGCCATAAGAGGTTACTGAGATGTTTTATGGGTTTTTATTAATGACGTCTTACTAATGAAGATTTACCATTCAGTAATTTCATTTGCTAAATCAGCATAATCTGATACTAGGCTGAAGGGAGGTATTTTACTGCCCTCTCTGGTTCACAGTTTCAGGTTTGTTGCACCTGTAACCACGCCTCACAGTGATGTCACAGTGTAGTGATGCACCATGGAGTACAGCTCTACAGCCCTGCATCATCACTGCAGGCCAGCAAGAACAACATTTTCAGCTGCTGTTAAATTGCTCTTTTATCTCAGTAGGGCTGAATTCAAAGGCTTGCTGATGGGCAATGCAATGAACACAAACAGAAATGCTATGGCCATGTTTAGACCAGCTTCAGCCCTGCGTTGAAAAAAAATGCAGCCCTTATTTGGGGGCTCTGATGAAAAAATATGTATATATTCTATTATATGCTGCTTAGCAGTGTTTTGGCTTTGGATAAATCTTCAAACTCTTTAACTAATTTAAACTGCATGGCCATCTGAGTTAAAGAGGCTATTTGTAAGTTTTCTCTGCTGCCGAACATACTTTCTTGTCAGGAGCAGGTGGTGGTGATTGTCACTTGACAAGAGCTTCAGCCATTATTGCGTTTACAAGACAAGATGTATCGGACATTGACGAGATGGGCCGGGGCTAGCTGATTAGCATGCTAACTGAAGTAGCAGAAAATACGTGATAGAGACAAGAGGTAACAAGAGGTTGGTGTTGCTTTCCACCTCTGGAGACAGCTGTTGGTGAGTAAAGGAATGAAGTTTGATGCTGAACTCACAGCATTTCAGCAGCTGTTAATGCTAATGTTAGCTATGTAGGAATAACAAAACTTACAAATACCTTTAAAGTAGGACTACTCTGAAATCAACTTTGGGGCTGTTGAGTTGCCAGGTGGCAGGAGCCAAAGCAGAAAAAGGGAAAGAGGAAAAAATGCAGGTACTCTAAGAAAATGGCAATAAACTAAAAACTCCAATCTGTTTGTTTAGATCAAAGTCCAATTGGAAAATATGTGATGCCTATTAAATTCATTTCCACATATGAATGTCACCCAAATGCTAAATATGAATTTTAGCTATGAACACCTGATCCACGAGCTCCATGTCTGTTGGAGAGTGTGTGTGTACACCTGGCCCTCAGTCCTGTCTTCTACTTTCACCTCTCCTCACCTCATCAGTTGAAGCTGCTGAGCTTCCTGATCGATGACACAAAGCTCAGTGTTTTGATGGATTGACCCCTTGTCATGCCAAATACCTTCGCCGTAAGCATAATTAAAATAATAAACGCGGGATTTCTGACACAGGCATGCTTCATGGCGAGCACACTGAATTGTTTGTCGGCGCATTTCAGTCCGAGCTTGACAGAGACAAAGGAGATTACAACGTCCCTACGTAGCTAAGACAGAGAGCGAGGCTGTGATATGATTTGTCTTCAGGATAGCTGCTGTGTGAGCGTGTGTTTGAGTGCGTGTCCATCATTATATGTCAATGTGGTATCATGTTTGTGTTGATTGTGTTGATGATGTCAATTGGGGTTGTCGTGATACTCAGAAGTAGATTTTTCAATGTCTATACTAGTGATGTAATTCATATTTTAAGGATGCAGTAAAGACTGCGCTCTACCAGGTGAGCCACCGAGGCGCCCCACCTGGTACAGCATGTACCATTAGGACTCAGCCCTTACCGCAGCAGCCACGGACCTTTGCTGCATGTCATCTCTTCCCTCTCTCACCCTCAACCTTCCTGTCTCTCTGTCACTGCTACTCTAATAAAGGCATAAAAAAAAGCCCAAAAAATAACTTAATAACAAAAAAATGCACATATGATAAAATAGTGACGGCAGATTTTTGGCCTTGTGGATCTTTTGTTTATCCCTTCATCTGGTTGCATTTTCATTATCCATTAAGTGTAACTGTTCTTTTTGTATGCCTTTGTGCAGTTACACACTCTCTCCACCTCCCTTCACTAGTATTTAAGTCTAATTCATTGGCCAAAAAAGAGACAAAACACACGATAAACAAAGTTAAAGATGAGTTTGACTGATAGCATTACCATTATTTTCTGTTTTCATTTCAAAGTTTTTATAGATATCGCAATGAATATTTTTGGCCATGATAATCATGAAGTGAAAATCTGATATCATGACAGCCCTAACCTCAATTATTCATGACCCCTTCTTTGTGTATCTGTATAATTACCAGTTAATCTTCCTGTGTGTGTGTGTGTGTGTGTGTGTGTGTGTGTGTGTGTGTGTGTGTGTGTGTGTGTGTGTGTGTGTGTGTGTATGGCTGTAATGTTATACTGGCAGAAATTAAAAAAGAAAAAAATGAATCATTACATCACTAGTATAGACACTGACAAATCTACTTCTGAGTCTAATGCTTTTGGGAACTCTGTCTCTTCACAAAGCTGATGCTGAGAGGTATTGGATATTTGTATGTACTGTAAGTGTGTGTGTGTGTGTGTGTGTGTGTGTATATTGTGGTGGGGGGGAGGACTTCATACTGAGCTGTTGTTTCTGGCAGAGCCCAAATAAGCATGATGACAGTGTGTTATAAAGGAGCCCGTCCAGCTCTCCTTCTATCAGCTCTGTCTGGCTGAGACACCTGGAGGGCCTGACGGATGGCTGGAGTTATGCATTTGAAAATAACAATGTGTAAATTTATTGCGTAGCTGTCTGCATCTGGCTAATGAGGCCAGTGGCTGCAGCCAAGAGGACAAGAAAAAGAACGTCCTAGATCTAACAGCTGTATTATTTTGTGTACAGCATGATCATCACATCACTTGCCGGTACTGTAGAAACAGTAAACGGCAATCCACACTGTTTGTGTAAGGATACCAGTTAGAATAGGAGCCAAAGTCTGTGTTTGATTCATTTTTTGCTTAACAGAGCAGCACCATATTTTGATTTTTTTTTAAGACAATACTGTTGTCCTCCACAAAAACAATATGTGGTTGTAGACAATAAAGAAGAACAGGAGCCAAACTCACCTTGATGTGGGGTTTGGCCAGTAGTTTGAGAAGCTCCTTGATTTCTCCATTGGCTGGTTTCCTTTCCAACTCCTCAGACAACTAAAGAGCAGAAGACACATTGGTCACAAAATGCATCTACAAAACAATATGTCAGGAAGGTATATAAACATGCTGATAGGAAAATTAGAAATCAAAAATACGACCCCTTTCTTGCCATTTGTTAAACAGCAGTTCTGCCATAAATACCAATGGAGTAGGTTTTGATTTATAAAGATCTATAGCTCACCCGATGATGCATGTACATGGTAAGGCAACGCTGTTTTAAATCATATATGTTCTTTTATTTATTTGGTGATATGAGCGACAGGGGGAAGGTTTGCCTCGTCTCATTACTGAATATTGCCGTGCAATTGCCATGGTTACAATCTTTTCTTCACTGTGATAAAGAGATAAAGTGATGGAGGTGAGCAGAAGGTTTACAAAAGAGACTTCTTTGCTGGATACTGTAATCCTGAAAAGGAGAAGATAACTGAGATTTTGCTTCACTGAATTCTAATGAATTACATTCGATTTTATTTTTTATAGCACCAAATGAGACCAGCCCGTGTTACAGAGCGCTATAACAGGCAGGTAGTTAGAAAGGCTACTTCCCCTGTGGCGTGCCAAGATAAGCCTCTTCAGACAGAGTTTGAACTGTTACCCTCAGGCCGTCGGTTTAGTCTGCCCGTTATGAGAACCAAGAAATAAAAGTCTTCCTTTGTCCCCACTGATATTCAGTTGTTAAATGGCAGATAGTATTTTATTGTTGTCTGGAGATCACTTATTTGCATATACTGCTTACTTGACTTTTGCACTTGATCTTGATACATATCACTCTGGCCACCAAGCCATGCTGTTTGTTGATGGCCATTAGGGTTTGGTGCGTTTCTGTGGAGCCTGGCTGCAAATCAATTTCCATGTAAGGGACAATAAAGATACTTTGAACTAGAACTTGAAATCACAACATTATCTCAAGGTACTTTACAGAGTAAGGTTCCAACCATGAGCAGCACTTGGCGACAGTGGAGAGGAAAAACTCTTTTAACAGGAAGAAACCTCCAACAGAACTTTGGGCAGCCATTGGTCCTGACCGTTTGGGTTCAGAGGAGATTCATGTTGGATTCAGTTTCTCCTCAGCATTGGAAATTTAAAGGAGAAAACACAAGCAGCCCAAGTTGACCATACTGATCATAGTTCTCGCTGTGTCAACATGGTAACTGTAGCTGCTCCAATGTGTAGTAACATTTTGTGTGCACTGGCCCCATAGCTTGATGCATAGCTATAAATCCACCTTTACACACACTCACACCTGGAAGCTGCTCAGCACGACCGCAACATTTACGTGTTAAGGGCCTTGATCAAGTGCTAATGGGGAGCAGGGAAAGAGCTGCTCTTGAACTTCTCCCACCCACGTTGTTCCTGTGGGTCCAGGGATCAAACTGCCACCGCTGAGTAAAGGTTATGAAAAAGTCGAGTTCGTCTTTCTGTTCTAGACTTCTTGAACCTGACTCAGACTGTGTTTAATCAACACCTACACTGACAAACACAATCTTAATCAAAACTCAAAAGCTTATGCAGAAAAAACAGGAGTACACTCGGCGGGTACTGGCTGTGCTTATACTTTCAGGTGACCCCAAACAACAGGCTTCCATCATGCAGGAAAGCTAATACTGTGCTAAATCAGGTGCATCTTAGAGGGAGGTGAAATCTCATCTTGTCATGGGACATCTAATTCTCACCTGTTGCCTCATTTCTTTTGATTGAATTTAGTATACATTGGGATCACTTCTCAGATTGTTTCTCAGGAACCAAAGAAATCAGTCCACTCCTCTTGGAAACAATGTGAACTGTGAGAGCATCTCTGCGCTAGACTACATCCATTATGTATATCTAGTAGCTCTGACACGAGTGACTCTTCCTCTAAAGTCCAGGCCACGCTCCTCCGTCTGCACTCTGATTTATGGATGGTCCTGCTGGATGTGGCTGAATGTGGAATGAGTGTGGAGAGGAGCCGTCCCAACACAAAGACCTGCCTGTACTCATCTGAGATCGGGAGCTAACGTGGACTACACGAAGAGGGCCAGTGGAAATCACAGGCTGTGGAAGGTGGAAGGTGGAGCTATCACACATCCACATTCATGTTTCCTCTCCTGTACATGTGGTATAGGAGCACATGTGTGTACAGATGATCATACTGTACGTGAGGTTATGTGTATTTTGTACCACATGTATGGGAGTCGTCCCACAGGTGGAGTAATTCAGCTTTTGGACATACTTCAAAGTATAAAGTAAAGAATATGCTCAGGTCAACTTATCTGTTACGTGTTAGGAATTTAAACTACACAGTTAGTGCACTTTGCCTGCACTTCAGAATATGTAAATCGCATCGTTTTAAGATTAATTAAATGAAAGTTAGAAAATGAATCTGCAACTACTTTAATAATCAATTCAGGCATTCATCATTGTAAATACAATATCTTTGTGTTTTGGACCATTGCTTAGACTAAAGAAATAATCTGAAAACCACTGCGACTTCGGCCTCTAGGAAACTGTAATGGGCACTATACATTATACATTTTATTATATTATATTACAGTTTTCTAGTATAAACAATTAATCAAGAAAATTATTGGTAAATTAAATGATAATGAATATAATAAATATATATTATATATATAAATAATGTCAAGTCATGTTATTTTTAAATAAAATACACACAAAACTGATGTAAAATATTATGAAAAAATAATGAAAAATAATAAGTGTCACTCAATTAGAGTGATAAATGACTGAGAGCTGAAATCCAAAGAGAGAAAGTTTAACAAAATGAAATGTATTAATAATTGCCAACAAACAGAGGATTTTTGCGGCAGATACTCATATCAGTGTTTGAGAATTCAAAACATCCACTCAGTTGAAAAATAAACTTCTTTTAACAATGCTGCTCATATATGTTTTCATGAATTTTCTTATCAGCTGACATGCACACTGATATTTCTGCAAAATACTAATATTGGCTGATATATTGGCCTAAATGATTTATTGGTCTAGCTCTACTTAAAATCAGATGTTATCAACTTATAGAATTTCATTGGATTGGTTTATTTTTTTCTCTTTTTCCCTTATCTTATGAACTGAGGGGCTGAAGATAGACATATGTTGAAACATTAGAAATTTGTAATTTGGGGATTATAAATAAACTTGATCCTTCCTTGATAACATAAAATACTTATATAAACATTAAAAAAATGGAAGATAAGGTACAACTGCAATGAAGTTTTTTACCTCAATAAGCAAAGACTGATAAATCTAAAGGTCAAATAATAAAAACATACAATCACAGTGGAAAAAAAGGTCCAGTTTCTAACTTCTAATTGGATAATAAACACATACTGCAGTTGTTAAAAGTCTTTGCATAAAGTGGAGGACTCATGGATCATTTTGGTGCCTCTGTTGTCATCACACAGCAGATAAGCTACACAGGGAAACACTGTGTACTCCTCTAAGTGTGATGCTGAGGCGGATGATGACAGAGGTTGGAAAAACCTACAGTTTGTTTGAGTAATGACCCCGGTGGTCTGGGAATAAGGTAACAGAGGTGAGGCAGTGGTAAAGGCAGGGGGCTGAGGGTCAGACTGGGGTTAGGGAGGACGCTATGTCACTTTACCTGAAGACAGGAACATGTGCTTGTGTCTGAGGGGGGGTTAGTTTTGAGCCGCCCTCCCTCTCTCCCTTGGGGGAGGGCGGCTAATGAATAGTCACAGTGGTCAAGGTTACTCTAGCTGAACTTCATCCAACCTTGCATTACTTCACTTTATCAAATATGCACAAAAAAACCCTGCAAGGTCGGAGTAAGTGATGCAGAGAGAAAGGCCACATGGGTAAACGGAGGAGGAGAAGAGGAGATCAAAATGAAAACAAAGAAACAGAGATGGAGGCGAGTCACGATCTGGGTCTTTAGTGAAGGAACATCACTTGCTCTGATTCAGCATCGTCCATCATCTCATCGACGAGCTGTTTACAGCGATGGGGGGAGGCAGAGCGAGGATGAACGGTACATTTCCACTCCCTCATATTGTCCTATTAAAGCACCTTGTCCCATAACTCAGTGCGGACAGATGGGACATATCTGACTACACACTCTGCTCTCTACCTTCGTGCCTCCCTGTTCGAATCACATTTTCCACCCTCAGACCATCATCAGTGAGGGAGGGGGCAAAAAAAAAAAAATGATGCTGGCCTCCTCTGAGACGGTGTGTATTTCATTTGTTAAATGTCATGGCAGGTGCTGCAGTGTTTACATAAGTTTGATCCCAGCATGTCAGTTTATTGCTCTCCCTTGACCCTGAACGGCTGCGGGCTCACTGCTTTTATATATAGCTGCCAATTCATCAAGCTGACCTTTTTTTTTTTAATAGCTTTTATTAAAACTATTAAAACATGTTAACCTTTTATTTACAAACTCCGATCTCAGCCAGCCAGCGTCATCCATTTGATCCATGATGGATAAAATGTGCTTTGGCTTCATTTCTTGTAACTGATCAATAATAAACCGGCTGACTACAGTAAGCGTCTCAGGAATTCATTCTCAGGCAGTATTTTGATTTGATTTTACACAGTTATGCACAAAGATGTTTCCCTATTATTATATTTTATAGGTTTCAATAAAAGTTTTAAAGTCTTACGGTCTAAACGCTGGCACTCACACTCTTACAAAAATAAAATTAAAAAGGAAATAATGAATACATGATTTTTTCTCATGCAAATAATCTAATCTAAAGAGACTGAGTGTCAGAAGAAAGTGTTTCCTAAAAGTGACTTCAATCCAAATGTGTTTTTAATGGGGTCCTTCATGAAATACATGAAGTACATCAGTGGATTTAAGATGCAGTTGTATTTTAACTAGTAATAATGACTTGCAGGCCTACAGGCATGCTTATTTACAGCTTGAGCTTTCTCAAACATAAATTTAGAAGTTATATGTGTATGATTGCATATTGTGTGAGCCCTGTGGAAATCTAACCCTCTGTTTTCAACTAGATAAGGATAAAAAGAATAAGAAAAAAAAAAGCTGCAGACGCTCCAAAGCTTTGAACAACAAGGTGAAATGTCTGCACGAGTCTGTATCTCAGATCTTAATACTAAAGATGCATGATAAATCAGTGACCGATATATTATCCTTCAAAAAAATGAGAAAGTCATAGTGTTATTATTCAGATAAAGGGGTTTCAGATGATGATTATCTGGATCCTTTCCTTACACTGGCTTCAGAGTTCACTGCAAGTATAATCGGGTCACACACAGTCACATGAAGTTATATTAGACCCTCTGTTAGCATTTTAGGGAAGAAGAAGAAATGTGTTTACTACAATTTTTTTTATAAGAATTGTATTTACAGTGGGAAAGTAAACGGGTCAATCTAAAGAGGTTGCCCTTAATGTCTACCTCACAGTTTTTCAACCACGAGAGCAATACCACCAGTCACTGCTTCAGTATTAAAACAGCAACAAAAAAGATCATTTTTGATAATCATTACTGACCTTGAAATTCAAAACTGGGGCACAACTTTTTTTTTTTCCTACATCTTAAATCCTTAGATTTAATCTCTATCCAACATTAACTGGGTCATATTCTGATGGCTTCATTTACATTTTTACAATGTTGGGCCAGCCAAAGGCTTGTGGAACGTTAATTTACTGTACAGTAAAAACTAACATTAAGGAGCCACCTGACACTGATGAAGCCCTCTCTCTCCCTCTCTCTCTTTCTCTCTCTCGCTCTCTCTGGGTGTGTGTGTTTCTAGTTATAGTTATGGACTGTAGACCAGTGCTCTCTAATGGCACCCAGTGGTCTTCCCAGGTAACAGCAGGTCTTTGGGTGAATATAAAGATGTTGGGAAGCGAGCCAGAGGAGGGGAAGGGCGTTTCGAGGGGAGAAGGACACAACTGAGACACCAGGACGGACAGTCTTTAGTCAAGTGATGGGGCTGGTTGATGTGGGATGTTTAGCTTTTGACAGGATTGAGAGACACAGATCAGACTGGCAGCCTGAAACTTAGAGAGCAGGTTCGTGTGTGAGGCTGATTTGCCCCTTTAGATTAATGTAATGTGGTATTTTATATTCCACAATGGGGCAAGAGTGCTTCTATTTCACCCTTAATGAGCGCTATAAGGAGGCTGTGAGTGTAGCAATGAAAGTCTATGTACACCCATAAACGTGTGTGTACAGTCACCCACTGACATGTCTTAATATGGATGTAATACAGCACCTATGCCCTGGGCACTGGCTGTGCTGGGTTGCTTGAGCAGTGGCAGTCACCTGCTGTGTGTGCTAGACAGTGCAGCCGGGGGCAGACGAGGGTTGAAGTGTCATTTTATGTTAGGCAATAAATTAAGCCGCCATTACCCGAAACCCAAGCCCGAAAAGAACTTCATCTAACTGTAGATCTCTCCCGTTGCACTTCAGTCCTCAGCCACCACTTCAATAGCCTTCATTTGGAGCGGTGACATGAGTGAAAAACAATCTGCTTTAAAAATACATCGCAACGCTCCGGTTGGGAGCTTTTCTTTTTTTTGACTAGCCAAGGAAGGGGGGGGGGGGGGGGGCAGGACTGCGGTGTGCTGTGAGATGCTTTGATACACCATCTCTGGGCTTTATCCCGATATCTGATAATCCCAGGGAGACGCTTTGCGGGGCATTTACCAGGAAGCATAAATTTGAAAGTCTGTAATTTGACAAAAAGAAGGAGAAAGAAAATCTGTAAAGGTGGGAGGCAAGATGGAGGTTGATTGTTGGGGGTCTCTTCAACAGTCTATGGACTCTTGCCACAACCTGGGGAGGTTTGCTTGAATCTCGTGGAGTTCTTGTTCTGGTGTTATCTGGTTAGCAGCGTCCTTTGCCAGTTCTAACAGCAGGGTACAACAAACACACAGAAAGAAAAAGAGCAGTAAAATGTATTTTTGAGAATATTGTCCCTGCAGATTCAAGCTCAGGCATCCTGGTTTGGTTAAGGGTCCTGGATGGTTTGGGACTCCTGTCATCTGCACTGGTGTGTGTGAACCCTCCGGGATGGAACGTGCTGGCTCCTGCACTGACACTTGTGGCCTGCAAGGTCAGGAAAACCGCTCTAGACCACAAGACGGCCTAACTTTCGTGACAGTCTCAGGACACTCTGGACTCTCTCCTCCTCGGGCTTTACCCCAACCGACTGTAAGGACTTCAGCCCCTCTTTCTCCCGTCTCTCCCTTGACTCAGTACTAATTAGGATGATGTATGGCTGTGGCCTCTTTAGAAGGGGTGGAATAGTCGGAGGCACTTTGATTACAATAAACAGAGCTGGGGATTTCAAACAAAACCACACACCAGTAAAAGGACTTTTCCTCCTCTCCATTCACCATGCCAGGCTGGTTCTTGGGTTTACACAGGTGTGTGTGTGGGTGTGTGTGTGCGTGCGTGTGTGTGTGTGTGTGTGCACATGTGGATGTGAGCGGGGCACTGCATGCTTATGTGCACACACGGCTTTCGATAAATATTGCAGATGAACAATACAGTAACAAATGTCCGGATGCTGGTCATTTATGTAATAAATCAGACTAAATATCTTTCACAGCTTGAGGAGAGTGACTGGGCCAGTGGAAGAAAAGCATCATCAGTGGTGTTTGATGACGCCTCATTTACAGGTTAACCAGTGAAGAAGGAGTGCACACCACAGGCGACGCCGCTATGATGCTTCCTGTCTCTAAATCTGAATATTTCCTGCGTTCTCTCCTTCACTGATTTCTGTTTACTAGACGGAACTCAATCATCTGCTGTCGTCCGTCATGGCGCGCCCATCCATCTTCAGCCTTCCTCTGAATGACTGGCCCTTCTATCCGGCCTCTGCCCAAGGAAAATGATCAGTTTGTCTTTGCAGAGCTGGGTTTTTGATTTCATGGTGTACAGCTAGATGTTTGGGCAGAGAGCATGTGGCAGGGTAGGCGGAGGTGGGTGTAGAGTAGGGACAGTGCAGTGTTATTGTAACAGAGACCAAACTGAGAACCAAAATCTGAGAGGGGGACAGTGCAGAGTTCACTCCAGGGTAAGAGGTGAAAGAGGATAAACATTGTCGAGGCGACTGCACGCTACTGGGACGGGTGTCAAGGGTATGTATGTGTAACTCTGTGTGGTTGTATGTGTTACAGACACGCGATAAAGAGGCACTTGGCGCTTGTGATCTGAAGTTTCTGCGTTCAATCTGCACAACCGGGCTGTTGTAGTGCAAGACAAACTACGTACCTGCTTATACTAAGTCTCTCTGGATTTGAGTATAAGCAAATCATGTCCGCTTGGTTTTTCAAACACAAACAGTAAGACAGAGCAGGCAAGAGAAAAAAGACGTAATGTGAGTGTAGGCGAGAGACAAATTTAGGGAAAAACCTCGATAAACGAGCAGAGAAACATAACAAATGCAGAGTCTTATTATATAAGACAAAAAAACTCACTAAATAGTTTGATGAGTATGAACATGATGTGAATCACAGACTACGGCCTTCACAGTCACCAGATCCCAACCCGACCACACATCTACAGACAAATCTGAGGTTATCTGTGGAAATAAACAAGCCGCCGTTACCGCGGCAGTGCCTTCATCTCAACAACTCTCTCAACATCAAAATTTAGTCCAGTTTTCACAGACGGCTCGGCATCTTTCCCGCTCTGTTATCAGCTGCTCCAACAACAAACTGAGACTTTGGGAAAAACAAAAGTAAAATCCACAATCCTCCACTCCATGAAATCAATTTGACTTCGCTTAATCTCTGTTATTATTAAATCCTCATGTTTCAAACGCTTTATGAGCTCGCCTACAATGGGGCTGCTATTGACCGAGTGATCTTGTTACACGCGGCTGATGGTGAGCCGCCACCCTGCATACCTCCTGCTAGCTTGGTACATTATTACGTTTCCTGGCTGAAACATTTCCAGTTTTTATTAAATGGTTTATTGCTTCTGATTACAAAGCAAGGGATCGTGGAATTCGATGATTTGAATCTTAAACTAGCAAGTAATTCCTTCTGGGTTTAATTAGCTGCAACACAGCACTGTTTCACTGTTTCACATCCAGATTGTGGAGGTCAGACAGAAATGTCTTTTTTTTTTTCTCAAATCCTGTGTCATAATTAGTTTCAGACAGATGGAATAACTTCCACATACACACCTCTCTGTTTCCACTGTCAGTGTAAATGTGTTCAGTTCTGCCACCACAGTAATGGCTGTGGCGCTTGAGGGTGTGACACATGAATCAGCTGCCAGAGTAGTCTGTAGGTTTTTAACCCTCATGTTAGACAGTGCTCTCCAGCATCATCATCAAAACATCAAATGACACACTGACGCTGTTTTGGAGGCGCATCATGGCCCAACACCTTACTGTGACACTTAGTGGTGTTTTTTATCCTTTCATTTGTCAACCATAAGTAGTTGCAACCAAATAAATAGAAGCCTTCCTCCCAAAAAAAGAACTTACTTCATGGGCCAGAGCTGCAGCGCTGTCCAGGACGGGGACGGGTTTGCTCTCTTCGTAATGCTGCAGCCGCTCATGGATCTGAAAGGACAGATTGTATTCATCAGTGAGGAAGAGAGAAGGAGAAGAAGGAGGTCAACATCGGGCTGCAGAGGCCACAGCAAGGCCTCCCTGAGCAAACACCCACACGTGTGAGCCAGGAGTGCACACAAAGACCCATGTGCACAGCTATAAGCACACATGTATGAAAACATGTACAGCCTCTGTCCACACCACCTTAAACTAGCACTAACTCACATTAGATCAGAAGGACTAGAAATCTCACTCTCAGACACCAAAAACACACACACACACAGACACACACACTCACTCTCTCTACTGAGCACAACAGAGTATTCTAAGTATTTCAGCTAGCGAAGGCGCTGTGCAAACAATCCAGTTTTCCACCAAGCATTCGATATGCCCTAGTGGCCCAGCAAGGACTCCAAATCATTTCAACAGTCTGGTGAAATTGGTTAAACATTTCCTTATCAGCCTCAACACTGGAACTGCACAATGTAGAGAGACAAAGCTGTGTCTCTGGAGAGTTACTAAAATGGAAAGTAGCCTCGACTCGTGCATTAACGTTTACTCATTTACACACACGAAAACACTTCATCACTCAAAAACTGATATATGAAACAGAGAGGAATAATTTATGCACACAACCGCACGCTTGTGCCCACGCACACGCAGTCAAACACAGTCGCACACTACTTCTCCAGCCTACACACAAAAAAAATACTACAACCATCCCATATGTGATTTAAGAGCAGCTGTGCAGGAATGCGGCCTACAGGCTGCTGTCAGGTCCCATCAGAGAACAGACACGGACGACCATCCTCCAAAAAGCCACTCCTGAGTCTCTCGTCAGCCCAGCATGGTGAAGGGGAGCTAGGCCATGGGTCTGACTGATAGCTGGGCCCAGGGCCTAGAGATCCAGCTGGATGTCCCAGAAAGCATTCCAGCACGATGGTGGAACAGAAGGCCCTCTGGCTGAGGAGAGAGTGACAGAGAGGCCCCTGGGCCAGCTCGGTGTCTGCGGGGCCAACTCCACACATGTGGGAGCTTATACACACACATGTAGACACACAGATGGAGCGGTGACAGTTTGCCACAGAAAATCATTCAGCGGGACAGAAAGTGACAAGAAAAGCATTTTGTTTGCTGTCACACTCTGAGCAGCTACAGATGCTATGTGCAATTAAAACATCTGTTTTAAGACTGTTCAACATAATTTTTCCTCCTCACTTCGCAAAAGATATTTAGCAAGACAGCATTCGGCAGTAGCAGCACTGTGTGTACTGTGATAATACTGCATGGAACGAGGTGAGTGCTGTGAGATTACACAATCACATGATGGGATCTGTCCCTTCTAATGACTTTCGCCTGGGAAATGTTTTTTTAGTGCTTTTGGCCCCCGGCTAAAAATTTGGGGAAGCTCTGATTAGCAAAAAAGAAATGCAACATGTGTAGATGAGTTCATTTCAGTCTTTTCAAGCTGTCATCTGTCTTTGATAACCACCAGAGAAAACGTCCTGAAACCCAAAACATGATGTCATTCACAACAATACACAAACAAGCTAATGCGAGCAACCCAAAATCTCTTTTTATGACTCTCTGGTAAGAAAAATGCAAGAGAACTATATGTTAAATGCCTTTGCATATAAATATGAACTCCTCCCTTCCCATCAAAATTCCAGTTCAGCTGTCGGCCTTAAACAGGTTGCCATTTCAGCTCGACTTATCCACACAGAACCTGGTGATAAATCACCGCCTGTTAGGACTGTGTCTCGGCCAACAGAGCAGCCATGTTTCAAGGTCAGCTTAGAGGTTCAAATCCTTGTGTAAAGCCGACATTACTCGGCTATAAAACATGGTGCATTAGGCGTGTCGTGGAGGTAATCTGCTGAAGGCCTGAGGGAGGCCGATGGTTGCTCAGCTCAGCTGTAGAGCGCAAAAGGGCTACAACTTGAGGACCCTCGAACAAGACAGCTGGGATGTGACGTTAAAAACAAGCAATGCAGTAGGTGTGTAACGGCTTGGAGAGGTGCAGGAGAGTATTGATAAGGTTGGAGACAGAGATAAAAACTGGAATAACACAAGAATGAGTAGACTCCAATGTTTAGTTAAACTGTTGTCAGTATGTTCCATGTTTTATGACATCAAATGTAAGACTGCCACTTTGGGGCAATTGCTGGAAATTTTCATCCTCATCTGTTTAATTTCACATAGCCACATCATATTTGAACAGTTACTCTCTAGCATTCATGAAGTCCCAACAACTCCACCCTGCGCTCTGACTCCTCTCCTCTGTCTGTTCCTCTACAGTAGAAGGCCGTAAAAGGACAGGCAGGCAGCTCCGGTTACTTCATCTGTCCTGATCATCTTTGTAAGAAAACAGATGAAATAAATGAGAGAGGTTGCCAGTGTCTTCAGCGCTCCAACATACCACAGTCCTGGTGACATCTGCTTAGGTAGTTGCTGCTCCACCACCTCGACTTACTCAGTTACTGTGGAATTTCTCCTCTGCTTCGTGAGCAAATGCGAGATTGAAATGCTTTTATTTACAGTTCAGGACACTTTCCAAGTGCCTGTCCATGACGCAGTAATGTATTTTAAAGTCATTACCCCGCTTTTTGCATAGCGCGTTCTCTGTCCCCTTGGTGAGGCAGCAGCTCTCCTGGCAAACACCAGAAGTGGCCTGGTGGAATTTAAAACAGTGAGAGGCAGTGTACTACAGCCAAGGACAGCTTAGCTCAGACTGGAGCGCCGCTCTAGGACACACAGCAGAACCAGAGACTGGGAATCTGAGGCTTCTCCGGTGAGAAATGTAGTGCTACTTCAATGTAAAGTAGAGTCGGGGTCAAAATGCTCAGAACTCAGAGAGGAAAGCTCCCAGAAGATCAGGCAGGGTAAAGATGAATGAATGTCTACCTTCACTGAAAAAACAGGCTACAATAGGAGCGCTGTGTGTCCTGCCTCCACAGAAGCCTCAGACTAAGTAGTGTTTGCTTCCAGAAATACCCGCTGTGCTTAAAATACACACAGCAACACATGAGGAGAATAAAATATGAAGAAAAACATGAACCTCTGTAAGAATTCATATGAAAAAATTCCAGTGAGAGTGGACTGAAACGAAAACATAACATTCATCCATCTTCATCTTCTTCAGACATGATCTACAACCACTGTGAAGGATCACTGTGAAGGTTAAGGGTCAGACACCTTGGAGTCCTGTCAAGAAACCTTCAATGATAAAATTCAGTAATCCAAACTGTATCTACGATCTCTTCATGATCAAAGTGTACGGAGCAGAAATGAGAACAGTGACGTCTTGCACCTCGATAGTCAACGTGGACGTATAGGAAAAACATCATGCCTTACAAACACTAATCCAGACACACTGCAGCAAGCACAGTCTGGCACAGAGAGAGGGAGAGAGCGTGCAAGAGAGGGAAAGCTTGATAGATGGAGAGGTTTGCTGATGGAAGGAGAAGGAGAGGTCTGGAGATCACAGGGCTGGATAGTGTTTCTGTTTCTGAGTCCTGCAAGGAGGCTCAAGGCCTCTGGTTAATGTCCACTGCCCAGAAAACTTCACGTCGGGCCGGTTAGGGCTGACGTTCTTTCTCCCACTCCTGTTTCTATATCTACCCACCGGAGCAGATCCAGTATCGGACCTCCGTTAATCCACACGGGTCCAATCTCTTGGTCTGATCCAGAACACCTTGTCAAGCCACCGCGGCCTGGTAGACTAGACCGAGCTAGGGAGACGGCACGGGGGCATTACAGACAGACATACAGGGTTACAACAGGAATAGTTATGAGATGATATGTTTACATAAGGAGCCTAAGAAGAAAAGTGTAGATTTGCTTTTCCTCCTGTCGCAGTAGTTCAGTTTCTTGGCTTTAGCCCTGGCAGGATGGCATCAGGTCCTGGACAATGTGCTGTGGTTTGTGAACAATCCTGCAAATGACAGTACCATTCTCCATAAGTCTGCTGAGGGTACAACTGGCCAATCCTGCAAACTAAAGTTTATGCCCAGCGTCATCAAGGAGTGGTTATTAGAAAACGAGTATCCAGTCATTAGTGGTTACTAAGTTTACACGAGGACAGCAACTTTAACAATCTTTCCTCATGGATCTACCATCCCCAAAAGCTTGTCTCAGACAGTTTTCTGTGCTGGCTGATCGATTTAGACTTTTAATTAGAAATATATACAACACTCCAGTAATGCTATTAGAACGGTCTGCCAAGAATGTCAGCCAATTTCTCCAGGGCGAGCCTTTATGATTCTGTCGGTATCCCTCCCTTGGAGGGAGCCAATTAAGAGAAGCCTAATAAAACTCTACTTGTCCCGCAATGAGGTCCAAATCCACAATAATTGAAGGTGTGGATGATTCTGGGTCAGAGCTGCAACAATTAGTCGATTAATCCAATAGTTGACCAACAAAAAATCAAACTATTTTGATAATCAATTTAGAATTTCAGTCAAATTTCAAGCAAAACGGCCAAATATTTGATGGGTCCAGCTTTTTTTGATTGTTGGTGGAACAAACAAAGGAATGTGAAGATATCACTTTGGGCTGTGGGTAATTATGATGTTCATTTTTCGTAGTTGTAGCCCTACAACTGATTAATAGACAAATTGGTCATAGTCAAATGATTTGTTTTGTGTGCACTTACGTTATTGAACAGAGAATTCACACAAACAAAAAAACCTTGACAAAGGAAAGGTGCTGGGCCTCCTACAGAGGGGTCTCGTGCCTGAGCTCGTCTGGCCGTGATGTGGAAAAGGCCTGGAGAATGTGACAGCTGATTAAGAACTGGAAGTAGGTCCAAAGGACGAGAGAGAGAGAGAGAGAGAGAGAGTGAGAGAGAGAGACAGAGAGAGACACCAGGGCAGCTGGCCAACAATCATGACAGCCATATCATTTAGATAGGAGCTACATTTCCTCTTGGAGCTCTTGGGAACACAGAGGCCCCTGACACACCTCCATAGACACTGTGTATTCTGTAGAGCCAGGGCAGTGCAGGACAC